AGATGGTCATTGGCGCCAATTCAATGCCAACAAGAATCCCCAATTTAGGGTGTGGTGAAGAAGAAAAATTTACGCACTGCAAAACCGCTCAATTGTGATACAGCAGAGCTGCAAAACCAGCACAGCTATAGAACAGCTCTGGGGCCAGCAGGCTCTGGGGACAGGAAGTCCTGGAACCAGGCCCCTCTCCCACTAGACAGCTCTGCTCTGCTCCGCTATGGTCTGCTCCACTCTGCTCTCACAGCCATCTTCCAGCGAAGGAGACCAGTCTTCATTCTTTGATGGAAAAGGAAAGTGGGATCTCAGAGTCAGAGGGGAGCTGGGTTATATGGACAGAAGTCCCCTCCCCCTTGGTCTCGGATTGGTTTGGCCTCATGCAGATGAGGGCTTCAAGTCCTCTCCGTTTGATTGGTCCAAGAAGCACTGTCCTGATTGGTTAGAATAGAGCATCAGGGAACTTTTGTAAGGACTGACTCAGAGGGCAGAAACAGGCAGGCAGTTCAGTGCAAAAGCAAGCAGTTTAACGCAGAGGCAGGGAGTTCCGGCAGTTTTTCAGTGGAGTGCAGTTTGTGTGAGAGGCCCATGTGCAGAAATGGCTGCTAGGCTCTCTTTTTGTTTTGTGTGTGTTTTTTTGTTTTTTGTTTGTTTGTTTGTTTTTTGGTTGTTGTTTAAATTTAAGCCCAGTTAGCACCAGGAGCTCTTCTTAATAGGTGTCTTTTTCATTTTTCTCGTTCACATTATGAATCATAACAAATTAAAATGATGTAAAAACATAATTTTTATAAATATTTCTTGCTTAGAATTTAAATTATTTTTATTCTTGTTTGCAGAGTATTTAAAGACTTTTTAATTCAAAATTTCAATTTTTAAATAAAGAATAGTGGTTGGTTTGTAAAATCACTTATTCTTTTGAATAAGTGCTTTTATATTAATTATTTTAAGTTAGCAAAGGGTTAATTTCTGTATAATTTACAAATATTTTACAGCATAGTTATTAGCTAACACATCATTTAGGGAAGTTAAATTAGTATATTTCAAGTGTCTAGTGATTTTCAAGTATTTTGAATCAAATGTGTCTAATTTGATTTTATTGTTATACACACGATGAAAAGAAAGCAAGAGAAATTTACATAATTGGCAGCTTTAATAAGATGTACATTGTGATTTTAAAACTGTGATAATTCAAAATTAAGCCATTTATTGTATTTGTGGAGCAGCTAATAGAAGCTTAATTTTTTTCTGATCAGAGTAATGTGACAGTCTTTAATTAATATATAATTTTAAATGTATGGAAACTGCACCTTTGGAAACCTTTAATTATATGCATTTACACGGGGAATCAAAATATGTCTAATGAATATGTGCCCTTATTTGTGTAATAAATATGTTCTTGTACAGTTGTTATTTTAAAAAATATGTTTTGATTGATTTTAGAGAGAGAGAGCAAGGAAGGGAGAGGGAGAGAGAAACATCAATGTGAAAGAGAAACATTCATCTGCTGCCTCCTGCATGTCCCCTACTGGGGATGGAGCTCAAAACTGGGCATGAGCCCTGATGGGGAATGGAACTGTTGACTTTTGGTGCATGGGATAACACTCAATCAACTGAGCCACACTGGCCAGGGCAGTTGTGAATTTTTGGTAAGTCAAATCCTTTTATTTTTCCTGGAAAATAGATACTTGATATTAAAGTAATTGTGTAGGCACACATACATTCGGAAACAAAATGTAGGTACTATATTGCTAAGAAATTATTTTAACACTACAGGCACAGTGCACAGATATTCGTGCATGGGTGCGGTCCCTAGGCCTGGCCGGTGATCATGGTCCCTAGGCATCTGGCATGGAATGGCAGGCTCCTCGCGGGTGCCGGGTACCTGAGCATGAGGGCTTTCCTGGCATGCAAGCCCTGGCATCCCAGGGGAGGGTAACAGGGGGAGTGAGAGCAAGCTCAGCGGACACCCCTGCAGGCACCCCGCATTCTCACCACATTTCCATCCCTGTCACCCCTGCCCCCAGGTAGTCAGCTAGAGTTTCAGGATTTCCCCCCTCCTTCCCCCACTCCCCAGGTGCCATGTAGCTAACACTTGCCATGTTCCGCGCGGCCCCCTGGTGGTCAGTGCACGTCATAGCGAGCGGTTGAACTTCCGGTTTCCTGGTCAAATTGCCATCGAACGACCCGCCTGAGGGGATAATTTGCATATTAGGCTTTTATTATATAGTATGAATAAACAAATTGATCAGTTTGACTTCATTAAAATTAAAAACTTTTACTCTGTGAAAGAACTTCAAGAGAATGAAAAGACAAATCACACTCAGAGAAAATACTTGCAGAAGACATATCTGGTAAAGAAATTTTATCCAAAATATACAAAAACTCTTAAAACTCAGAAATAAGATATTGAATCCAATAAAAACGGGTGAAAGAGTTGCGCAGAAAGACACCTCACAAGAGAAGATGAAAAGAAGCTCAGCATCAGATCTATAGGCATATGAAAAGAAGCCCAGCATTAGGTGTTATTGTAGAATCACAAATTACAGGATATCAGTTCACACCTTTTAGAATGACCAAAATCCAAAACACTGGCAACACTTAATGCTGGTGAGGATATGGAGCAGCAGAACCCTCTTTCATTGCGGGTGAGAATGTAAAATGATAGATGGGGTATATAAAAACTCTTTTTACATTCTGCTGAATGACTCTGCTTTTGGAAGACAATGTGGCAGTTTCAAATAAAGCAAAACCTAATCTCTGCTATGCAATCTGGCAATTTTACTTCTCGGTATTTACTCAATTGATTTGAAAACATATGTTCACACAAAAACCTGCACAAGATATGCTTACAGCAGTTTTGTTCACAATTGTAAACACCTGGAGACAAACAAGATGTCCCTCAGTAGATGAGTGAATAAACAAACTGTGTACACCCATACAATGGAATATTATTCATTGATAAAAACTGAACTACCAAACCAGGAAAAGACATGGAGAAAACCTAAATGCACATTAAGGTGAAAGAAGCCAGACTAGCAGGCCACTTCATATGATTCTAACTCTATGACATTCTCGAAAAGGGAAAATTGACTAAAAAGATGAGTGCCTACCAAGAGTTCAGGACGGAAAAGCAAGAGTGGAGAGGTTGAATAGACATAGCACAGAAGTTTTTAGGGCTGTGAAATTATTCTGTATGATAATGTAATTCTGGATATTATTCCAGATGACAGTATGCATTTGATAAAGCCCATAAAACTGTACTACACAAAGAGTGACTGGTAATGTAAACTATGGGATTAAGCTGGTAATAATCCTTTTAATTGTACAAAATATACCACACTAATGTAAGATGTTAGTAATAGGAGAAACTGCTCTGGGAGTGATGAGATGGAGTATATGAAAACTCTTTTTGCATCCTGCTGAATGACTCTGTAAACCTAAAACTGCTCTAAAAAAAGTCTGATAGGAGAAAATTATGTTATTGTATCCATGTCTCTAATTTGATGTGTGCACACATTAAGTTTCAAGGAAGGTGTACTTCATGGAAATGCAAAATTGATGCAACAATCATTTTCTTATTGGGGGTTGTATGATTTTCATGTATCACTTATGTAATTTGAACAGCTAGATTATTGCCTCCTCCCCCACCTGAATCCTGCTGGTTACAGATGTTACTTTTTAAGAGGTTAATGCTGGCTCTATTTTCCAGGTTTGTTCTATTTCACAGCTGTGAAAGGGATTCTTGTGTGTACTTTTACTTCTCTTGGAAGTTTGATTTTAAAAGGTACACTTCTGGATTAGTAAACTCTGTAATCTCTTTCCATCTCACCCCATCCCATGTCTTTTACTGTTTATTAAAAAGAAAATTTAAACACTCCAAATAGCAGAAATAGTAAAATAAGTATCATTTACACATGCTGCACAGATTTAATGATTCTTAATCTTTTAACATATTTGCTTTCTCTGTTTTGCTTAATTTTAAAAAAGTAAATTATAAATACATTCTTTTTAAATTGTAACTATATCAGTATGTATCTTTAAAGTACAGCATTTTCCTGCATAGTCCAAATTCAAGGGTAGGCAAAAATAAGTTCACAGTAGTGAGTACATGAAAGTTTATGAAGCATGGTAGCAATCATCTCAGGTAACAATTGCTGTTTAATATTTTAACCCTGCTGTTCTGGCTTCTGTTATTTTGATTTTCTGAACTTACATAAATCATCCTATTCGATTGAATACCCCATTGATTGTGGATTGAATACCCCATTGATTGTGGATTGAATACCCCATTGATTGTGGTTTTACTGGTCTTTCAAAACACATTCCTCTGTACCTGGAGACCAGGACAGCACACTTGCTTTAAATTGCTTCAGTGGCTCCAGATAATGTGTTTCCATTGACTCAGTAGTCCCAAGACCTGAAACTATAATTAATCTTTGTAGATAACTAACTTGCTCAATCTAAGCTTCTGTAACAAACTTTTTGCTAATCAGGTTCCTAATTCCAAACCTCGAGATGTAATCAATATCTTTGTTATATTTGCCTTTATAAGTCTGATGTTTCTGCCACTTGGCACTGGGAGATTTGGAGCCGCTTCAACCCTCGCAGTAGCCTGCTTTACTGATTAAATGACTCATTGATTTGATCTTGTGTCCTGTTATTAATTATTGTATTATTTATTATTAATAACTTTTGTCCACCCTTGTCTTATCACACTAACCAAGGTAATGGTAATTTTCCTTAATATTTCTAATATCTGGTTCATATTTGTGTTTCCTCAATTGGTGTCTCTTGCAGCTCTTGTCTTTCCAACCCGGATCCCATCAAGTACCACGCTCTGCAACGTGTTGTTAGGTCCTAAAGTCTAACCCCAAATCTCAGTGGATTCAGGAAGTCTCCAGGGGTCAGGTCCAACGGGCTACTGAAGCGGAAATGCTTTAAAAATTACTTCCTTCGGTCTCAAGGGTTCATGGGAAATGTAGTCTTGAATGTGTGGGCCTACCGAACAGGCCTCTGGGAAAGGGTCTTCAGCAGGCACTCTGCGCTGGTGCCCAGCAGTCCCGCCTCTTCCCTGCCGCCTTCCGGGGTCTGTGCGGAAGCACAGCCTGCGCACCTGAGAGCCCGAGCCCCCGCGGTCAGGTAACTCAAGTGTGGGGCGCGGGAGCCGGCAGTCCCGGGGTTCCGCAGGCGGGCCCTCCCTGCCCCAAGCCCGTGTACGTGCGGGTCCCCCTCGTCGGCTCCCGCAGCGCAGGTGGGACCGAGTCCTCCTGGGAGGACACGCCCTGTGCGGCGAGCGGGGGACTGCACCCTCTGGACGCTCACAGTGCACAAGGGGCTACTCATAGTTTATGCAGATATTCTGAGAACGAAATAAGGTGTCATCTGCAAATTACTTTGCCAAATGCCGTGTGATCACTGTGTAAATGGCTACCGAGACACTTTGTTCCCTTGTTTTGTTTCATTGAGCGCTGACAACAAGCCTACTTGTCGGTATGGACGTGCCATTTTAAGAAGCGAGAGGACTTTCCTGGGGGCGGAATGATATACCCCAGCGCACGAGCTGGCCGCGGAGAGCGGTAGGATGCAAATGCAGATGTTACCCCCTATCTCTGCTCTCCTGAGAACCCGCCCCGCCCCAAACCGAAGTTGCAACCTCTGCAGCACATAGAAGAGTAGCCTGTCCCCAAATCCCAGAGACGTGATTGTAAAGTGAAGGGGGACAGGACCTCACCATTTGGTAAATATCCCTGGGGTTCGTGGGTTTTCTCCAGAAACCCGGGTCAGACGGAGGCTCTTGCAGCTTCCTGCACTGTCCAGGCTGCCTCCGTCCTCAAAGGCCCAGTCTGGCCATCACATGCAGTGCTGGCCAATAGAAAGATAATGCAAAGATAATATAAAAATATCTTTAAAAAATTTCAGTAGTCACAGTGAAAAGAAAGGTGGTGAATGAATTCAATACTGATTTAATTCAATACAGTCAAAATATGACCGTCCTGCGGAGCAGCCACATTTCAGGTGCAGGAGTTGCATGCAGCTGCTGGCTCCAGTCCTGGGTGGTACATTCTTAGTGAATTCCAAAAGGGTCAGGCTTAGAATGTCGGCGGGAGGTTTCAAATAAAGTGCATTTGTTTCTCAGGCTCAGGTCCCAGTTCCTCTGGAGCAAAGTAACTCTTTCACGCCAGGAAGGAGGGACCCCAGAAACAGCTGCCACTTGGAAGAAGAGCCATTCTGACAGGCCCTTCACCAGAGCTTCAGAGCAGAGGCAGAAGTTTCTAGAAAGGAGCAGGTGCTGATTTGCTCCACTAGAAGCAGGTCATGATACCTGTACAGCATGAGTCAAACTGGGCGATGTTGCCACATCCAAAAGCCATCACAGACTGTGACGGTGGCAGCTGTGGACCAGTTTGCAGGAGGTGGGAGCCTTGTTTTGAGAGGGATGGGGGACTGTCAGGCTGCACAGGAAAAGGCACTTCAGTGGATGGCTGGTGAGGACAGATGTCCAGGGGAGGTGTAACCTGCCGGAGCTGATGAAATCCTGGACACTAGGTTTCCTTTATTCTGCCCGAACTCCAGATTCTGAGCTGCTGTCAGACCTGTCCATCACCACAGGTGGCATCTAGAGTTATGCAAATGCTCCCTCTTTCCTGAATGTAGAGATAACAGAATGAGTGTAGAAGGGCTTTCTACATTGGCCACTTTTGAAAACCCAAAAATATTGGTCCCGAAATAAATGATTTTTGTAGAGTCACTCAGGGCAGAACCAAACAGCAGCAATACAGAACTGTTTACTCACACAGAAAAGTGCTGTACACATCTTCTCTAAAGATCTTTGTAGAAACTGTAACCAATTTAGAGCAAAAAGTTTAAGAATGTATTTCTTACATAAAATGTCCCACCATATTTTAGAGTTTTCTGGGGAAACTAACTCAAGCTGTAAAGACAACAAGAACTTGATTAATAATCCAGCAAGAGTAGTTTTTTGACATTAGTTTTAATGAAAGTAGGGCGTTTCACCTCTGGTGTACCTGAATTTATTTAAGGAATCCTCTGCTTTATTTAGTTTTTAAAAATTTTTGATTTAATTAGGAGGGAGCATAAATTGTTAATTCATCGACAAAAAGCAGTTTAGTTAGTGAAAATGCAAGATTAAGCCCACGTGATCATCTCAGAGATGCAGATATTCAGGTGCTACCTCTGTGTGGTTTCTGCTGTTCCTTCTTAAGACTGTCAGAGGGGCCCAGCTGGTGTAGCTCAGTGGTTGAGCATTGACCTATGAACTTGGAGGCCACGGTTTGATTCCTGGTTGGGGCATATGGCTGGGTTGTGGAGTCAGTTTCCAGTGGGGGAACGAAGGAGGCAGCCAGTCAATGATTCTCTTTCATCATTGATGTTTCTGTCTCTCCCTCTTCCTTCCTCTCTGAAATCAATAATAAAAAAAGAATGTCAAAGGGACATTCTGCCATAGGGAAGCCTTTTCTCCACCTGGTGTTAGGAGATTTTTTAGGCAGATGAATATAGGAATTGTAAGGCAGACCAGGTTTCTCATGACCCCATTTCTCTTCCCTTCTCCCCAGCTGACCTTCACAGTTTTTTACCTTCTTGCAGGAGCAGCAGAAAATGAACGAAGCTGAGGTGAGTTCAGTTTTTAATAACCTATTTATTTTACAGTGGATTTTATAAGGGCTTAAGTGTCTCTGTGTTAACATGGAAAAATAGAAATGGATCATATGCATTCACAGAAGATACAGAAATACAGATGAATAGCAGAACAAGGTTGGCATGTGGATATATGCAGAAATTTATTTCTGAGGGTTCTGATATCTATGTCAGAATGTCAGACAATACATCCTTAAAGGCTGACATTGGTGAGGAGATAAAGCAAACTGATTCCCCATAAAGACAATTGAAAATAAAAAATAATCTTTGTTGTTTTCAAATAGGCAATTTAGTTAACAACTTTCCAGTAATATAACCCTGAAATAATCTAGAATATTGCCTCTAATTGTTCTTCAATTAAAGTAGAAGACTTAATGTTATATGTAAACTCAGTTAATACTGATTTTCAGAAACTGAAACACAGGGGTTGAATTAAGGCATTTTTCTGATAAATCAACTGAATATCCTCAAAATTACTCTGCATAAATACGAATTGCATGTAAGTGGCCTTCCAGATCCCCAGGAATATATTGGAGCTTTACAGAATCTTCATTGACCTTTCATTCCCCAGCATTTCCTTTTAAGCTTCTCGATTGGTCATTGTTTGCCCCTGCTGTTATTACCACCTCAGGTAGCCACTAAGTTAAACAAATGCCTTTCAGTGTTTTTTTTTTTGCCTTTCAGTGTTTTGACAGATGCGTCTGAAGATAGTCTATTCCCACTATGTAAGCTCCAAGTTAGCTCAGATAAAGACATCCTTGTAAGCCGGGTCTTTCAGGGAACCTCCAAATAGACCAAGTGATGACAGTTTTCTGGGAATGAGGTTTTGATTTGGTGGAACTCCAATCCTCTTGTAGTTGCCAGGCTGCTGGTTGCAGACTGTTGGTTCTCAAACTACTGCTGAGTTGGAGAGAGAGGGTTAAATTAAAAGGACACAATATTGTTCTTACTGTGAGTCAGCCGTTTTTCTTGTATATTTCCACAGATTGCCTTTGCTAACTTCTATAATTTTTGCCAGTTTTTTCATTGCTTTAGTGGAGGAGATAATTTTCTGGGATGCCTGCTTCAACATTTTTACCTAAACCACTTGTTAGCTTAATTAAAAAAAAAAAATCCAGCTGATGTTTATTAAGCCAGATATTAAAGATTAGCTAAAATGAAAAAATTCCATTTTTCTCACTAATATTTTAGTTCTGGAAAATATAGTTAAATTTTCTTCATTTGTTTAGATTACAATACATTTAATGAGAAGTGTTCCTGTTCTTGTTTTCATTTGTTTTAGTTCCCAGCTACTAGTTCTGAGCTTCACACAGAGCAGGTATTCACTCAGTAATGAAGACATGAATGAACATGTAATTGGATTGTGTCTGTCCTCTTATCTCTTAATCTCCTTCCCATTCTTTCTATTTTTTAATTGTGACAAGATCCACTTTCAACAAATTTCTCTGTGTACAATTCAGTGTTAAGTAGAGGGACAGTGTTGTACAGCAGATCTCTAGAACATAATGTTTTTCACAAGTGAAACATGCTCCTTGAACAGCAACTCTCTGCTTCTCACCACCAGCCCCTTTGAAGACTTGTGGAAACTTTCCCTTTTTTTGTTTTCCAAAACTCTGCTCTCTCATGCCTCTATTACTACTTTTCAAAAAGTTCTCTGGCTTTGTGGCCTATACTTTTTCTGTTAGTGTCTTTATTTATTACTAGAGGCCCAGTGCACAAAATTTGTGCACGGGGGTGGGGAGGGGGTCCCTTCAGCCCAGCCTGCACCCTCTCCAATCTGGGACATCCCTCTTACAATCTGGGACTGCTGGCTCCTAACTGCCCACCTGCCTGCTTGCCTGATCTCCCCTAACTGCCCCCCCCCGCTTGCCTGGTCAACACCAACTGCACCCCCCTGCTGGCCTGGTCGCCCACAACTTATACCCCCCACCCCCCCCGCCGGCCCGGTCTCCCCCAAATTTCTCCCCCCCTCCACCGGCCTGGTCACCCCGCACAGCCTGCTGTTCAGTCGTTTGGTCGTCCCTCACTAACCCCCCTGCCAGCCTGGTTGCCCCACGTAGCCTGCTGTTTAGTTGTTTGGTCATCCCTCACTAACCCTCCTGCCAGCCTTGTTGCCCCACGCAGCCTGCGGAACATTACTGTCACTGTGATGGCATCCTAGACAATTTGCGTATTCCTCTATTATTAGTATTGATTATTTGTTAATCCTCACCTGAGGATATATTTTCCATTAATTATTAGAGAGTGGAAAGGAAAAAGGGAGGGAGAGGGAAAAAGAGGTAGGGAGGGAGAGACAGAGATAGAGAGAAAATCATCAATGTGAGACACATTGGTTGGTTGGTTGCCTCCCACATGAAGCCCAACCAGACCCCGGACTGGACCTAGGGATCGAACCTGCAACCTAGGTATGTGTCCTTAACCAGGAATTAAATTCAAGACCCTTTGGTGCTCAGGCCAACGCTCTAACCTCTGAGCAATACTTGCTCAGGGCTCTGCTAGCCTCTTAATATTTCTCAAATGTTTTTGGTACTTTGCTTTGCTCATTTCCTTCATGCTCAAGTTGCTGTCTGATTCCTTCAGATGACTTCAGTTACCATCTAAATTGCTAGTAACTCCTTAATGTTGTCTCCTTCCTAGACCTCCTTTCTGTGCTCTAAAATCATGCGTATACTAGTTTAAGGGACAGTTCCAGCTTTACATTCCATAGACTCTTCAGTAGCAACATGAACGGATCTGTCACATTAGACTTATAGCACATTTTTCCTTTTGTGTCTCAAGTCAGTATTTGGCAAGAGCATTGAAGGAGCAGCTCGTTGCTAGAGCCACACAAGGGTAGCTACATAAGAAAGTAGTTATCACATTGGTTTCTGCTTCTGCTCTGTGACTACTTCCCTATCCTTATAGCAGTTGCTGTTACTTCAGTGTAGATTGTGTTCTCTCCTACTGGTCTCTCTGATTCCACCTCCTTGGTAGGTTGTTCTTTGCTCTTCATGAGCTCTAGATTTATATATCTTTACTAGTGATCCGGTGCACGGATTCATGCACATGGAAAGGAAAGCATCTGCAGAGTGATCAGGGTCCCTCTGGCAGGTGGGGTCTCTTGGCCTGGCCAGGTCTGCGGGGATCGGGCTGAAACCAGCTCTCCAACATCCTCTGAGGGGTCCCAGAGTGCAAGAGGGCACTCTGCAAAGTTGCTGTCATACAAGGTGTGGAATGCAAATACAAATGCGCAGTAAACCAGATTGAGGGTCGACAGTGTCCCAGTAATAACATAGCCCACGGCTGAAGGTGGAATCGTGAGGCCCTGCAAGGAATTGGGCTCCCTCCTCTCTGGTTTCGGGTGCGTCACCCGAGAGCCACCACTACCATGTCACTGCAGGTCGGCAGCTCCTGCGTTGGGAGTCTTCCCCCTGGTGGTTGTGAGCGTTATAGCAACTGGTCAGACGGAGTGAAGGACACTTAGCATATTAGCCTTTTATATATATAGATACATTTATTTATTCATGAGCTCAATCATGTATGATATCTCCACAACTTACATGTATCTCTTTCTTGACTCCCATTATGTATGGTAGTGATGTCCAAGGAGGGATTGAACATCCTAGAATTCTCTAGAATACCCAGGATAATCACTTGGGATGTAGAAGAGCTGTAGGAGGTCTCTTTACACTGGATTTGTTTTGTTTTGTTTAAAAAAACTGTAATTTGGCCTGGTTTGTTTGGCTTAGTGGTTAGAGTGTTGGCCTGTGCACCATAGGGTCATGGGTCAATTCCTGGTTAAGGGCACATACCTGAGTTGTAGGTTCCATCCCTGACCCTAGTCGGGGTGCATGGCAGAGCAGCAAATCGATGTGTTTCTCTCACATTGGTATTTCTCTTTCTCGCCCTCTCTTCTTCTCTTTCCCTCCTCCCCTCCCTTCCACTCTAAAAAACAGTGGAAAAATATCCTTGGGTGAAGATTAACAAAAACAAAGCAAAACTACAATTCATAAATGTAAATGAATAATGGTACATTAGAAGCTAATTGAACAACTCCATAGTTAAAAACAAATTAAGTTAAAATTAGACATCCTTGATATCTGTTTTTGAACCTTGAGAGTAAATAGGAAAATAGTAGTTCTCAAAGGTATTTTCTTTGTCACGTAATTCTGAACTTTATTACAGGGATCAGTGTCATTCGAAGACGTGGCTGTGGAGCTCACCAGGGCTGAGTGGCAGTGCCTGGGTCCTGGGCAGAGGACCCTGTACAGAGAGGTGATGCTGGAGAACTACAGCCACCTCGTCTCCATGGGTGAGCAGCCCTTCCCCTGCGACTGCCTCTAGAAGAAATTTCCTCTTTTTAAATTTTCAAAACACATCGATCCTTTATAGAGATTAATCTTTAGGCTTTTGATTAAGAGGCCTAAGTAACTGAAACTTTTAGAGAAATTGAAACGTTTGTGTCATTATTTTCCCATTAAAACCTGCAAATAGGTACTTTTATTTTCAGAAACTAAAAAGATGGATCTGCTCTGTATATACTCTCAATTGTTCTGTTCACAGGGTATTGCATTACCAAACCCCCAGTGATCTTAAAGTTGGAGCAAGGTGAAGAGCCCTGGTCCTTAGAGGAAGAATTCCTAAGCCAGACGTACCCAGGTGAGCACAGACAAACAGAAACTCTTGGGGTTGTTAGCCCTTTAAGGGAAACACTTTAGAAAGTTGTTTTTGCTTTTAAATAGCTTTATTGAGATGTGATTTGCATATCATATAATTCACCCATTCAAAGTGTTCAGTTAATTCAATGGCTTTTATTATATTCGTAGATATATGCAAACACCACAGTCAGTTCTCTTCACCTCTGAGAGAAACCCCATGCCATTTAGCTATTACCTCCCTATCCTCTGGCCTGCCAGTGCTAGCAACCACTAATCTACTTCTGTCTCTATGGATGTGGCTATTCTGCATATTTCATATAAATGGAATTTCACATTATGTGTTCTTTTGTGATTGGTTTCTTTCACTTTGCATTATAAGGCTCATATTATAGCATATATTAAAATTTCATTCTTTTTATGGAAAGAATAAATTTCATTGGATATACCACATTTGTTTGCTCATTCATCAGTCAGTGGACATTTAGGATGCTATCTTTTGGCTATTATTGAGTAATGCTAATATAATCATTCATTTACAAGGTTTTGCTTGGACATATGCCGTTATTTATCTCACGTTTCTAGATAGGAGTGGAATTGCTGAGTTATATGGGAACTCTGTGGAACTGCCAGACTGTTTTCCAAAGTGGTTTTACCATTTTACATTCCTAATGACAGCAGCTGAGGGTTCTGGGTCCTCCACATCTTCACCAGCCTTTATTAACTGACTTTTGATTGTGGCAACCCTACTGAATGTGAAATGCTATCTCACGGAGGTTTTGATTTGCATTTTTATATTAGTCATCTGGGCTGGCATAACAAAATACCATAGCCTGGGTGGTTTGAATAATAGAAACATATTTCTCCCAATTCTGGAGGCTGAAAGTCTAACATCATGGTGCCCGCAGGGTAGATTTCTGGTGAGGCCTCTCTTCCTGGCTTGCAGGTGAGCACATTCTCAATGTGTCCTCACATGGCTTTTCCTCTGCACCCCTGGGGAGAAAGAGCTCTGATGGCTCTTTCTGTTTTTGTTAGAACACCAGTTCTATTGTTCAGATTATTACAGATGTCCCTCTTTTTTCCTCCCATAGCTCCCCTCCACCCGGTTCCCACCTCTCCCCATGCCCTTAGCCCTCGCCACTGTCCTCATCCATAGGTGTAAGATTTCTGTCCAGTCTCTTCCCATACCCCCCATCTCTCCTCCCCACTAGAATTGTTTTTTGATGGAGTCTTTAGGGTTTTCTATGTACAGTATCATATCATCTGTGAATAATAACAGTTTTACTTTCTCCTTTCCAACTTGGATGCCTTTTGTTTTTTCTTCTTGTCTGATTGCTATGGTTAGGACTGTTAGTACTATGTTGAACAAGAATGGTGAAAGCAGACATCCCTGTCTCATTCCTGTTCTTAGTGGAAATGGTTTTAGTTTAGCCCATTGAGTATGATGTTGACTGTAGGTTTGTCACATATGGCTTTTATAATGTTGAGGCATGATCCCTCTATTCCCATTTTGCTGAGAGTTTTTCCCCTAGGGATTTTTGAATTGCAAGAGGAAGGACCTGGAAGAATAGGGCTGCTCCATTTTGGCTAGCACTGGGAGTAATTCTGTTTTTTTAAACAACTTGGATGAATAGAGAGAAAGAGTGTGTGTCTTGTGTTTCTGTCTTTGTGCATGAATTATTAATCTTTGAAAACATGACTAGAAACAATACAAAGCATAACAAAACATGATTATAAGCTCCTCATAATAAGAAATGTAAAATTCATAAGATATTTTCAATGTTTCTAATTCTAGGATATTACAAAGTTGATGTCCACATTGAGGAGAACCAGGAAAAACAAGAGAAACCTCGTTGGCAAGTAATATTCATTGATGATAAACCACGGAGTAAAGAAAGGCAGATAGTTTTAGATAACGCAACTCTGTTTAACCACAGGCGAACTGGTTCAAGGGAGAAATGCTTTGATCTTAATGATTGTGGGAGATCCTGTGACAAAGCCACTATTGAGGAATACGATGAAGTTCAGATGACTGTGACACACTATGAATGTAATGAAAGTGGAAATAATTTCAACAGGAATTTATTCCTCATTCAACCTCAGAGAACTGTTACAAGACATGGTGCTTTTGAAAGCAGTAAATGTGAAGAAAACTTGACCCAAAGCTCAGCCCATCTGGTACATCAGAAGACACAAACTGGAGATAAGGTCTGTGTTTTTAATGGATGTACAAGTGCCTCCTACCAGGACTTAGACCTTACAATACATCAGAGAACTCAGACAGAAGAGAAATTCTACCAATGTGGTAAACATGGGGAATCCTTGCATCAAAACTCACTTTTCAGTGTACATCAGGAAAATGACATAGGAGAGAAGGCATTTGAAAGTAATGAATGCAGGAAGTTCTTTTACCAGAAAGCACACCTCATTCAGCAACAGAGGACCCACTCAGAGGAGAAGACTTGCGAATATGAGGAGTGTGGGAAATTCTTCTGTTCAAATTCACACACTAGTGATTATCCTGGAACTCATATGGGGGCCTGTCTCTATGAATATAATGAATGTGAGAAAACTTCCTGTCAGATGTCAAACCTCAATGAACATCTGACAGTTCACACAAAAGAGAAACCTTATAACAATGAACGTGGGGAATCTTACAAGTGCGCCCTCTTAGTACATCAGAGAACACACACAGAGGTTGAACTCTATCAATGTAATGAATATGGGAAATCATTCTCCAGGATGGCACAGTTCAAAGAACATCAGAGAATTCACACAGAGGAGAAACCAAATGGATGTATTGAAGGTGGGAAAACTTTCTCTAAGACATCACATCTCAGAGCACATAAGAGAATTCACACAGGCAAAAAGCCCCATGAATGTATTACATGTGGGAAAACTTTCTCTAACAAGACACACCTCAGTGCACATCAGAGAATTCATACAGGGGAGAAACCCTATGAATGTAATGCATGTGGGAAAACTTTTCCCCCGAGGACACACCTCAGTCCTCACCAGAGAATTTTCAGAGGTGAGAAACTGTATGAATGTAGTGATTGTGGGAGGTCTTTTGCCCATAATTCAACCCTTAGAACACATCAGAGAATTCACACAGGTGAGAAACTGTATGAATGTAATGCATGTGGGAAAAGTTTCACTCATAATTCAGCCCTCCGAGTACATCAAAGAATTCACACTGGGGAGAAGCCATATGAATGTAATGCATGTGGGAAAACTTTCTCCAAGACATCACATCTCAGTACACATCAGAGAATTCACACAGGGGAGAAACCCTATGAATGCAATGCATGTGGGAAAACTTTTTCCAGGAAGATACACCTCAGTGCACATCAGAGAATTCACACAGGGGAGAGACCCTATGAATGTAATGCATGTGGGAAAACTTTTTCCCGTAAGACAAACCTCAGTACCCATCGGAGAATTCACACAGGTGAGAAACCGTATGAATGTAGTGAATGTGGGAAGTTTTTTGCTCGTATTTCTGGTCTAAAATCACATCAGAGAATTCACACAGGGGAGAAACCCTATGAGTGTAATGAATGTGGGACAGCTTTTGCCCACAGTTCAACTCTCAGAGAGCACCAGAGAATTCACACAGGGGAGAAACCACATGAATGTAATGAATGTGGGAAAACTTTCGCTCGTAAGGCAGTTCTTCGGGTACATTATAACAGAAGGCACACCACAGAGAAAAACCTTCCATGTAATGAATTTGGAAAGTTCTGAAGAAACTGGCTATTAAAACACACAGTGGAGAAGGTCATGTCACACAGACTGCAGATTGTTTCCTTTAACTATTTCCTCTTCTAATAGGCACAAGCATGTCTAACTTTCCCAATCTGCCTTTCATCCAGGTGGGGCTGGCCATGGGTTATTATGCTATTACATATCAGCTAAGTTTAGCTTTTAAAAATTGCATTCTTCCTGTTCTATGTTATTCATACTGGAATGGAGAAATTTGCAAGGCAGACTTGTGTGCTGTATATTGAGTATAGAGCACAAGGTAGTGATGAAACAATTTTCCACTAAACAGTCTTCCCCTGTTTTTTTTTTTTCTTTAAACAGGAATTACATTTGTATTTGTTGAGCTCTTAAAGATTTGGTGTATTGGTTAAATGCATATAATTTAGCCAACTCTGTTACAATGAAGTTAAACCTGTTAACCCTCGGTCGTTGGTGCCAATTCAGCACCAACAGGAATCCCTGATTTGGGGTGCAGTGAGGAAGGAAACTTGACTCAGTGCTATAGCATGGCTGTGAAAATAGCACAGCTGAGGAATAGCTCAGTTGTGATGCAGTGCAGCTGTGAAAACAGCAGGGGCTAGGTCACCCTTGGGCCAGGACTCTCTTTGGCCAGGCAGCTCTGGTCTGTTCCAGCAAGGCATCTCCCATGTTTCAACTGTAGCTGGGGAAAAACGGTCTCCAGTGGAAAGTTCGCTCCTCAATCCAGAGGGAAGCTGGCTTCAATGGACAGAAGTCCCTGCCCTGGTCCCTGATTGGTCTGTCCTCATGCACATGAGGCATCCAAATCCTCACAGTTTGGTCCAAAGGCAGTGGTCCTGATTGGTCAGAATAGAGCTGCTCTGATTGAATGGAGAAAGCCTCAATCCAATTGGTAGAAATAGGATTCCAGGAAACCCTTAGAAGGGCTGGCTCAGCCAATGGCAGCTTAGTGCTGAGCAGTTTGCATGAAAGTCCCCTGTGCAGAAATGGCTGCTGGCTCTGCTTTTTTTGTTTGTTTGTTTGAGCCAAGGCAGTCACCAGAAGCCCTTCTTAATATGTGTCTTTTTTTCCTTCGAGGGTTCACAAACTCTGTAAATATAATAAATGTCAGAAGATCTAGCATAATTCAACCTGTCATCGTATATTATAGAACTCACATGAGGAAGGCAACTTCTGTCAATAATCCTGAATGATCAGGCAACCTCATTAAAAATGAGAGAAATCTCAGGGAAAAACACAAAGGCCTTTACTTCCCAGTTAACTTTATTAAACATCAAACAATTAAGATTAGATAAAACCTTGTATTTTGTTGTGACATTTCTAACACTTTGAGTTTGCAACAGGTAATTTTTTTCTAAGAAAATGTGTCAGTTTCAGAAATGAGTAAAATCTTCACCTAGAACTGATGTACTAAAACTTGCTTTATTAAGTTTTATAGAAAATATTTGTGCACAAACTCACTGTGGACATTTTAAAGATGGAAGAATAGCTTGAATTCTGTGGACAACACTAATAAATGTTTGTAACTGGTCTCTGAGTTATGTGTACATCTGTTAGTCTGTGTAACAATAGAAGGCAGTAGCTGAACCTGGTCTGGACTGGTTAACTTTTCTGAGCAACATTCTATGTTTGTTCTCAACCTTGGCTACACATTAGAATCACCTGGGAATCTTTTTAAAATCCTGATTTCTGGGCATCATCCTCCGGAAATTCCGTTTCTTTGTGATGGGGTGGGGCCACAACATTAGTAACAAAGAAACAGAATTTCCTGAGGATGAGGCCTAGAAATCCGGATTTTAAAAAGATTCCCAGGTGATCTAATGTGCAGCCAAGGTTGAGAACCACTGGTCTATGTGCTGCTTCTTTGGCTCCCCTCAGCTTGATGCTGTTCAATGTTGGCCTGCCTGGGATATCGGACTATTGGTCTGGCCCTGTTTTTTTAGGACCATAAGATTTCTCAAGGATTCTTTGCATGTGTGGTGGATGTTGATTCTTACATAGTCTTTTGGCCTTCATTTTCTGCCATTTTAGTGGTTCATTTTGCACTGAGTAATTAATTATTAAGCAAGTCTTAGCTCTCTTGTATGCATGTAGCCTGAGTATCCGGTATAGGATCTTTTCCCAGTCCCACGATGCTTGCTGATACTGCAGCATTGCAAACTAGTTGATTTCTGCCCTGCTTGGATAGGAGGTTGTAGAATTAGAATGAAATCAGGGCTACTTTCACGTCAGAAGCACTGCATTAGTATTGAAAAGAACTCACTTTTTTTGGGTGGGGGGAGGGGGGGACAATATAGTATAGTCTTAGCTAAGAAAATATTTGTTCAAATCTGTCCTAATTTCAGGCTACATGGTTTGATCAGCACAGAGAAGAAAGTAAATGAATTTCTCAGTTTTGAACCACTAAGAATTTCTCTCAACATTGGGCATGTTGCTTTCTGCAAGTATGATCTGGTAGATTATGTGGACAAAGTCAGTTGATTCCCTGAGTAAATTTTCTATTCCCTATCTTCTATTAATATTACGTGAGGCAACATTATGTGTTTTTGTTTGTTTTTTCTTTACCATTAATTGGAAAACAAGTATTTCTTTGACTGGCTTATCATCGCTTTACTTGTTGGCATCACTGCCATAGAAAAAGGCCAGGAGATGAAGCTAATAGTACCACCCGGGCTAGCACACCAGAGACTAGGTTAGCACTCCTGGTGGCAGGAGAGTTCCAGCAACTAAGAAACTATGTTTGTCCCTCCTCAGTCTGACACTTCAATATGTGTGAGTGTGTTGCACGGGGCCAAAAGGGTATCTCTACATGCTTGATTTTTTCAGAAAACTATTGATTTCTAGAAAACTAAAGTACTTTAAATTTTTAGAAAATTAACTTCATTCTGGGATAGTTGTAGATTTAAAGAATAGTTAAAACAATAATTCCTATACACTCTTCACACAGTCCCCTTATTAGCATCTTTTATTACTCTGGTACATTTGCCATTGCTAAGAAATACTGATACATTATTAACTAAACACATTATTTTTCAGATTTCACTAGTATTTTCCTCTACTGCTGTGTTCCGAAATTTCATTCAGGATACCACATTACACTTAATTTTCATGTCTCCTTAGCTTCCACTGGTCTGTGACCATTTCTCATACCTTCCATGTTTTTTATTAACTTGACAGTTTTGAGGAGTACTTAAGTATTTTGTAGACTGTCAATTTGGATTTCTGGTATATTTTTATGTTTGCACTGGTGTTACCATTTTATACTTTTGAAGGAAGATCACAGAGTTTTAAAAAAAAAAAAAGCCATTCTCATTAATAGCATATGCTGTCAACGTGAATGATCATTAACAATGCTAAGCTTGATCACCTGGTTGAGGTAGTATCCCTCAACTTAAAAGCATAGCACCATGCTTGCTACTTGATAAAAATTTCTTTAATAAACTAATAGTTTATCAAGTTGTACATAAAATAAGATCAAAATCCTTTTTATATATTTCTTATTTTAATGTTGGAAACAATATAAATAAGTTAAAAACTAGAACACCCAGAGTTTAAAAATAGTCTTAAGTCTTAAGCTGATCTAGTTCACAATCCAACTTTTTGGTTTTAGTGTTTATTGGAACATAAATGAATCATTGCCCTTTGTTCCCCAGGATTTAACTTCAGGATTTTATTTATCTTCACATCTCATCATGGAAGTGGTGCTCAGCTCTTCTATACATCTTTTAAAATATATATATATATATATATATATATATATATATATATATATTTATTGATTTCAGAGAGGAATGGAGAGGGAGAGATAAAAACATCAATGGAGAGAGAGAACCATTGATCAGCTGCCTCCTGTACACACCACACTGGGGATTGAGCCCACACCTGGGCATGTGCCCAGACCAGAAATCAAAATTGCAACCTCCTGGCTCAACCACTGAACCACATTGGCTGAGCTCTTCTATACATCATCTTTATCTTCGGAGGTTGGACTTTGAGTAATGAAAGGACTGAAAGAAAGTTTGCATTTTCTGAGCCAATCAACCCAGAGATGGTTATATTAACCCAGATAATAACAGTAGATACAAAGAATGACAATCCATGATAACTAAGAAATCCAAAATGATAAGAGAAATAAGTCAGGCTTGAGAGTAAGATGGGGTATCACAGCCAAATGCCTACATAGGGCTTTTTCTTTTTAAAGCATTGATAAATTGTATGGTACTAACACAACTTAAAAAAAGAGTGATGCCCTAACCAGTTTGGCTCAGTGGATAGAGTGTCGGCCTTTGGACTGAAGGGTCCCAGGTTTGATTCTGGTCAAGGGCATGTACCTTGGTTGTGGGCACATCCCCAGTAGGGTGTGTGCAGGAAGCAGCTGATCGATGTTTCTCTCTCATCGATGTTTCTAACTCTATCCCTCTCTCTTCCTCTATGTAAAAAATCAATAAAATATATTTTTAAAAATAAGAGTGGTGTTGCTCTAGCCTGTTTGCTCAGTGGTTAGAGTGCTGGCCTGTGGACTGTAGGGTTGCTGGTTCGATTCCCAGTCAATGACATGTACTTTGGCTGTAGGCTTCATCCCCAGCCCGGGCAAGCAGGAGGCAACTAATCGATATGTCTCTTTCACATCAATGTTTCTCTCTTCCCTCCTCCTCCTTCCATCCCATTCTCTAAAAATCAGTGGGAAAAATATTGTAGGGTGAGGATTAAATAAAAACAAAACAGGGGTGGGTGTGTTACCATTAGAAAAATAAGTTTGAGTCTATTGACAATAGGCAGATGACATAATAAGATAGATACATAAAAGATTAGGAGCAAATGGTCACTCCCAGATAATAACTTAATAGTTAAACCAGGGAAGGACTATAGAGACCAAGGATTACTAGTGAAGCAAGAACACTGGCATATATTATTGCACACAAGCAGTGCATATCATCAGACAAGTGTGGATGAAAATCTAAAGGAACTGTTATAAAAGCAACACTTCTGGGAGAGAAATTGATTGAAGTATATGTGAAAAACAGTTCTACTGATAACATGCTTTCAAAATAGGCATGTACCTCTGATAGAAGATAATAACCCAACAGCACAAGTAGAATGTAATCATGCCTATTGTGATAAACAGGAATAAAACTTCATTGTTTGCTCAGGAAACCAGAGAAGATTATTGCTGGCCAGAGTGCACTGTGAATCCAAGAGAAGGAGAAACCAACAAGCACACTGAGAAAGCACAGAAAATAAGGGAAGGAATGAAAGAGACTACTGAATAAACATGAAAAAAGACCTAGATTATACATGCCTTATGCAGTGACGGCAAACCTTTTGAGCTTGGCGTGTCAGCATTTTGAAAAACCCTAACTTAACTCTGGTGCCATGTCACAGATAGAAATTTTTTGATATTTGAAACCATAGTAAAACAAAGATTTATATTTTTGATATTTATTTTATATAAATGCCATTTAACAAAGAAAAATCAACCAAAAAAATGAGTTCGCGTGTCACCTCTGACACGCGTGTCATAGGTTCGCCATCACTGCCTTATGGGTAGATAACGCATGAGAGAGCAAAAGGTTATACATTGAGAAGTGGCCACAAGGCTTTAAACTACAGAACTGCCACATTCCAAGGAACGTGGTGCACTAACAGTGACAGTTAACTAGAGTTAAATTGCTAAAGAAGACTCAGGCCCAAAATGGCAATACTTACACATGTTAATGTATTAAGGAAAAAGGATGCATTGCTTCATAGCCAAAGGTTGCTTCACAGCAAGGGGTTTAGATAAAAGTCAGGCACGAGCTCCTAATTTTATCCATTGTATAGACATAATTTTATTATCTAGTAAGAACCAACATGTGCACATTATAGCCTATAAGCCAAAAGTTGATTTACTGCCGAGGTTTCTTCTATTGTGCTAGGTATGTAGGTGTATTGTTAGGTAAGCAGACCCTGAAGGTCTTAATGAGAATGGGTATAAATGATCAGTTGCACTGTTATCAATAAACACTGTTGATAAGATGTTCAAACATGTCCCCAAACTTCTTGGATCCATGGTTACAAAGCAACACTAATGTATTTCATCTTGGACTAATGAATAGTGATGTATAGATACTTTAGGTCAAGCCTATTCCAAGTCTGCTGGACTTAATCCCCTGATGTTTTGTCAAAGCCTTTTACAAAATACACATCACTCTTAGTTTGACAACAGTCATTAGCCTTTCAACAACATGTAATCAAATAGACAGTCAAAATACACACAGATTTCAGAGAGTTGTAGTAACAAATGCGGGGTTGTATAATTTAGACCACCCTATAATGCTGATACAGATTGTCTCATATTTTTATATTTTTACTTTTCTTTTTGGGGGGGCTCCCAGATCTATAGCTGTCTGCACTTTATGGTATACATCTGTTGAATAATAAGAATTCTGATCTATCTGTCATTCAAGTGTAAATCTTTAAGCCTATTCTGTCTCATAGACAATGTTCTATGGAATGAGAATCATAAGAGACAGCTATGTCCTAGCTGGTTTGGCTCAGTGGATAGAGCGTCAGCCTGTGGACAGAGAGGTCCCAGGTTCGATTCCAGTCAAGGGCATGTACCTTGGTTGTGGGCACATCCCCAGTGGGGAGTGTGTAGGAGGCAGCTGATCGATGTTTCTCTCTCATGGATATTTCTAACTCTATCCCTCTCCCTTCCTCTCTGTAAAAAATCAATAAAATATATTTTAAAAAAAGAGACAGC